TGTCACAAATAGATCAACTAGACCAAAAAAAAAAAAAATCTACAATGAAATTATCAGAACTGAACTGAACATTTAAACAAATGGATTTAGTAAATGTCTACAAAATGTTCTACCTCACAGCATCAGAATATACATTCTCATCTGTATATGTGATGTTCGCCAAACAGACCACAAGCTAGCTCATGCTTAAGAACATGCAAATAGCTTGAAATTATTCCACATATCTTATAAGACCACCATGCAATGAAACTGGAAATCAATGGTAAAAGAACCCACAAGAACTTCATAAATGCATGGAGAATAACACCTTCCTGAACAACCAATGGGTCACATATGAAATTACAATAGAAATGAGACAGTCTCTACAATTAAGTGATAGTGCCAATAAAACATATCAGAACATGTGAGACACAATGAAAGCAGTCATATCAGGAAAATTTATGGCAGCGAACACTCATATCAGGAACACAGAATGAGCACAAATAAACAACTTAATATTGAACTTTAAGCTCCTACAAAAAGAATAGCAGGTAAAGTCCAAAACTCATACAAGTGAGGAAATTACAGAGATCAGGGCAGAAATTCATGAAACTGAGACTGAGCAAACAATACAAGAATCAACAAATTAAAGAGTTGGTTCTTTGAAAGACTAAATAAAATCAACAAACCTTTAATCAACTGTATTAAAAAAAAAGACTCTAATACATGCAATTAGGAATGGAAAGGGTGAAACTACAACAGATCCCACAGAAATCTAGATCATGTATACCTACTTTGAGAACTCGTATTCATTTTAATAGATGGAAAATAGAGAAGAAACACAGATTCCTAAATACATATGAGTTACAAAAGCTGAATCAGCATACAAAAATCCTAAATAAACCAGTATCAATAAATGAAACTGAAAATGTAATTTAAAAACCTACTACTAGGATAGGTGACAAGGGAAAGGACAGCAGGAAAAAGAGAAAAAACACAAGCCAGTTATACTATTAGCATGTTTTAGTTCGTTTAAAAGGAAGGTTTCGGACTGGGGATTTAGCTCAGCGGCATAAGTGCCTGCATTGCAAGCGCATGGCCGTGAGTTCGATAGCTGGGGGGGGGGGGTTTTAAAAAAAAGGAAGGTTTCTGCTAATATTAATTGAACAAATTTTTATAAATGTATCTTTTACCTAGAGCAATTATGTTTAAAATAACATGTAATAATGTACTGTTTTTCTCCTGTTATTTTGTAATGAAATTCTGATTTAGCTTTCTCCATAAAATTAAAAAAAAAAAAAAAAAACCTGCAACAAGAAAAATCCAGCCCTGACTAATTCACTGCTGAATTTCACAAGAAATTTAGGGAAAACATACTACCACTATTTCTCAAACTCTTAATGAAACTGAAAGGGAAGCAATATTCCCAAATTCATTCCTGGAAGCAAGCATTACCTTGACACCAAAACCAGAGAGTAACCCAACTAACAAAGATAACTGTCAGATAATCTTGTTGTACTCTAAGAAAATACCTTCATTATTTTGTGTATTATAGCAAACCTGCAACGTGGCTTACTAAATGTGTTTTTTTATCCTTTTTCCCTAACTGATATGTTAAGCGACCTAATTGATATGTGAGCAATACTCTCCTCTGTAAAGAACTGCAAGAATCTCACCTAATTGATATGTTAACCATTGTTGCCCTCTACACACTACAGAAGTGGTGCTAAAACAAGCTAACAAGGGTTGTTAATCACTGTTAGGCACCTCTATTCTCCGCTAAAGAGCTAAAGAAAACTAGAATGGCCCTCTAATTTACACTTGTTTGAAGTAACTTGCTTGTGTGCAGAGAGATTTGCGTATGAGTCTAACCCTTTACCTGACCTTGACATATAACTGCCATTTTCTGTTCTGTATGGCGCCTTATTGCCTCCCTCTCCCCTCACCTATCTATCTAGGCCATAAAGAATTTGGGTTTCTGGTGACCTCTTCCCGACCCGGTGATGATCTGTCATAAAATGAGCCTGCCCTGCCCCAATTTTAAGAACTGTTTAGCTTCAAAGAAATTACCGGGAAATACTATGGCCCAAACCCCAATCGGTGCTTTCCTTTTGTTCTGTATGCATCAAATGAGTTAGATATCAGATCTTTGTAAAACTTAAGTTTCAGCTTCTTGTAACTCTTGACCCCTTCGCACCCACTAGCAAAAACGAGCTGTCCTGGGATAATTAACTTCTCCACTTTCTTCTCCAAATATTGCTGCAGATGTGCCACTCCAAGATAATGTCAGTCTGTAGGATGGGAGTAATTTGAGAAACACCAGAAACTCCCGAGATTGTCAGAGCTAAGTGGACAGCAATATAGTTTCCAGACTCGGGTCAACAAGTTTGATGGCTCTGTAGGTTTCTCTGTTTCTCCCCCCGCCCTTTTCCTCCAGCCTCTTTTTAAAGTCCTCCCTTCAGTCTCTGGGACACAGTCTCCAAATTGGCTCCCGGAGACTCGTCGCCAGGCCTGGAAATAAAGCCTTTGCTACCTAAATTTTCGGTCTCTTGCTTCCTTGGATTTTATACCAGGGCCCGAGTTAAACAAATCTCCCTAATGAACATAGATGCAAAATTCAGTAAGATACTAAAAAGAATGCAGCAAATTATCAAGAAGATTATTCACCATGATCAAGTAGGATCCTAGGGATGCAGGGATGGTGCAACATACACAAATCCATAGATGCAACACATCATATTAAAAAGACAAGGATAAAAACCATATGAACATTTCAACAGGTAGAAAAAAAGCATTTGACAAAGTCCAACACCCATTCATGATAAAAAGTCTTGCAGAACAGTAGAACAGATAGTCTTTCATCTCAATCTGATAAAAGCCATCTATGACAAACCAGCACTTCACTGAATGGTCAAAAACTGAAAATTTTCACTCTAAAATAAGGAACAAGACAAGGAAGTCCACTGTCATTACTCTTATTCAATATAGTACTGGAAATAATAGCCAGAGCAACTAGACAAGAAAGAGAAATAAAAGGAATAAGGATAGGAAAGGAAGAAGTTAAATATCATTATATGCAGATGACATATTTTACATAGAAGACCCCAAAAACTCCACCAAAAGACTTCTAAATTTAATAGAAAAATTCAGTAGCATAGCTGGAGGCAAAGTCAACACTCAAAAGTCAATAGCCTTCCTCTACATGAATAACAGAGAAATTATGAAAAATATGCCTTTCACAATAGCATCCAAAAAAATGAAATACCTAAGAATCAGTCTAATGAAGGAAGTAAAAAACCTCTACAGTGACATTACAGTGCTCTGAAAAAAGGAGATGAAAGAGGATTATCAGAAAACGGGAAGATTTTCCTTGTGTTAGATCCCCCCATCAGAGACAGTACCATCATCATGGCAACGGTTTAAAACTGCCCTGAAAAGGCATACCTCCTTCCCGGAAGCCTCTATGGTTTCTCTCTCCCAAAAGTCTGCTAAAGCTCAGGCATGTAAAAGTTTACCCAATCCCCTGCACTCTCACAAAATAAATCAGCTCACATCAGTCTCCAGAGCCCTACCCCCATTAAAGCCTACATCAGGCAGAACTTGCCCTTTGTCTGCAGAGAACCACCACAGCCTCCTTAGCCATTATGCGGCTGAGCTAAATCCCCAGCCCCTTATTTACTGTTTCAATTTCTTACATTAAGATGTTTACACGAGGCTGATTTATTTCACTAATGAGCAAAGTCTCAAGTTGCATCCTAAAGTCTTTTTAATACAGGGCTCAGCAACACAAGCACCTGCCTGGCAAGTGTGAGATCATGAGTTCAATCCCCAGTACCAAAAAAAAAAAAAATTTTAAGTCTTCCTACAGTTACTGTTCTAACAAGGATACTTTGGCCAGTACACAAAGTATAACACTTGTGACATTCAGTAAGCTTTTACAATTATCAATTCAAATTAAACATACTTCACAAAAATATATCAAAACAAAAAAAAGATACACACCTGTAATTCCAGCACTTAACAGGCTGAGGCAGGAGAACTGCTGTAAGTTCAAGACCTGCCTGGGCTATGTAAGCAAGCTGAAGGCCAATTTGCACTACATTGTGAGACCCTATCTCAAGAAAGAAAACAGAAACAAAAAAGAGAAGAGATCAGGCACCAAGATAGCCAGAACATATATAAGGGTAAGCAAGAAAATAAAAAAGTACTAAACAAAAATATGTATTGCTAGGAATATTTTTCTATTTTAAAAATTCAATTTCTTTCCTATAAGTCATCTATAATTTAGAAAGTATAATTCTAATGGTGTAACTTTTTTTTTTTTTTTTGGTCTTTTTGAGACAAAATCTCACTATGCAGTTCAGGCTGGCCTTTAGCTCACTTTGTAGCCTTAAACTTGCAACGATCCTCTTTCCTTGGCCTTCCAAGTATTGGGATTACAGGCATGTACTACCATGCCCAGCCTAATAGTATAATTTTTTTTTTTTTGTCTTTTTCGTTTTTATCGGTACCAGGGATCGAACTCACGACCACACACTTGCAAGGAAGGCACTTGTGCTGCTGAGCTAAATCCCCAGACCCTAAGAGTATAATTTTAATAATTCATTTTTTTAAACATATGCCTGAAAACATTTTTCCAAAATATATACTGTCACAAAGACCAGAGATTCAAGTTGTTCAAACATTGGATTGATCCCTATAAGCTTAAATACCCTTAATATTTCATAAGCAATGCACGTAGAACCAAATGGGCTGAAATCACTGTTTTATTGTTTTGTTTGTTTTTTAGAGACAGATTCTTTATACACAGTTCAGACTGGTCTTGAACTCACTGTATCACCCAGGCTTGGCCTCAAACTTGCAACAATCCTCCTGCCTTGGCCTCCTGAGTGCTGGGATTACAGGCATGTGCTACCATACCTGGTTGAAATCACATTTTTCCATGTGGAAGTGGAGCTTCCATAAGGTCAATCATTATTGTAGCATGCATGAAAATTGATCATGTGCTCTTTCATACTCACCTTCCAACTCAATGGAGTCAGCAATGGAGAATGTGCCATGTACCATATAATGGCCAGGACAAACAATAACAGTGTCGCCTTCATAGCAGGCATTTACAGCAGACAATGGATCACTATGGAACTAGAAAAGAACAACATATTGCAAATATACATCATCTAAAAGCATCTTGCATATTTCTCCAAGTACCTTCATGATTTTCTTAAAAAATAGAGCCAAAATTGCCTAATTAAGTCTATCTTCCTGAACAGTATAGTAAGCCCAATACATGGTTGCTAAGTTACTATTGCTGATGAAAGGATAATGCTCTCACTGCTACCCATTGTTCAGAAAACCAGCTTTAGAAAGCTCCTGGAAACATTCTGTAGAATTTACAAAAACCTGGAATGAATCAAAAGAAACTACCTGGACCAAGAAATTTTCCTTCTACCTGAATTTCGACATCTTCTTTAAAAGGTTCCTCACAAAGCTTGTCCCTGAGCAGAGATCGCAGTAAACCAGACATCATGGTAGGAGAGACTACATGGGTGATCCTCTGGCCATTCGGACGGATACCTTTTGCTTGGATATTAGAGTTCTTCTGATAACCAAAAACATACCTTAAAGAAAGCAAAAAGACCTATTAGTTCTAAGAGAGCTGGTAAGAAAAGATGCTAATTTAAGAATAACAAAGTCCCACATACCTCAACAAAGGATTCTCAATGAGTTTTAGCTTTTGTTTCAACTGTTCAATCTCTGAATACAATTTTAATCCTTCCACCATGGAGATATTTTCCTGCTCAGAACCCGAATTACAAGTTGACAAACTGCTCCTTAGGTTTAAAAATTTCCTGTAACTTTCTTCACACTGAGTCAATAAATTGCGGTAGTCAACAATAAGTCCTGAAGGAACTCGGTCTTCAAGAATGTCATAATGCCTGAAAGTTTAAAAACAAACTGAAACCCTTTACTTTTCAGGTATTTTCCTAATCATTCAAACAACCTATTTAATCCTCAAATCCCATTAAGTATTTTATAGCACACCTAACTCATTTTATACCATCTAACTCAAGAACATGCAAACTCATTCTGAACAGCACTCTAGTATAAGTGGAAACTATCAGAAGTTTGAATCACCACTTAGTCACTAATATCCTCGTTGGAAGTTGTGTTTTTCCATAAATGCAAACATTTGTATTTTAGAACACTGTCAGTTCATGTTGCATAATTTGTGATTATTTATTTAACTGTTTTATTCTCATGTATTACATTAAAAACAGTAAGTAGTGGGCAATTTGGGATTTGGGTAAGGAAGTAAAATTGTTTCACAATGATATTTAAGATTATCATATTTGTAGGACCAAAATTTATAAATGATTCTTTAGTCCTTCCTTGCATCTAAAGCACATGGTGCAAAAATTTACTGAACATTCATTCCTTCAGGAAGATTATTAGAGAAGTTCAAAAACACATAAGCCTTTACTGTCAAAGGAAAAAAAGTAAAGTTGTCACTACTAAAGAGTGATTAAAAAAAATCTTGTATTGAACTTTACTGGCACTTAAAACTTAAAAGAGTATTTTAAAGTATAATAAATAATTTATGAATGTAGACTCAAGCTAATAAAAATGAAAACAGAAAAAAATTTAAAAAAAATAAAAGATAATATTGTCATAACACAAAGTTTTCAAATAATTGCTTTATTTCTCAATTGAAAATATACTAACGGGGGGGCTGGGGATTTAGCTCAGCGGCATAAGCGCCTGCCTTGCAAGCAGGCAGTCATGAGTTAGATCCCCAGTACCGATAAAAAGCAAAAAGACAAAAAAAAAAGTATACTAATGCCAGAAACAATAGCCCTGAGGCAAAATTCAGATACTTGGCAGTTGAGGCAAAATAGAAAATTTGAGGCTAGGTAAGTTAGCAAGGCCAAAAGGGCAGGGTTCAGTGGAGAGGAAGATGTCTGCTGACTGCTGGGCAATGCTTGAAAAGTAAGGATTTTGTCTACTTTGGTTAATTCATACTTTTTTAAAAAATCAGAATAAAAATATTTTTAAAAAAGAGGATCCAAAAAGACATGTTAAAAAATAAGTAAAGCTATTCTGGAAATTCATTTTGCAAATAAGAACTTAAGAGAACAAATGTCTGACTGACCAGATCTATTAAATTGTGGAGATCAGGACTCAAGTAAGTTTATTAGCTCCCCTCTTTCCCCAGGGATCAAACTCACGGCATTCACACTGTACATCTCTGGTCCTAGTTCGAGGCAGTATCTGGCTAAGTTGCCCAGTGGAAGTTCAAACTTGCAATCCTCCTGTCTCAGCCTCCCAGTGGTGGCATTACAGATGTGTGTCACCACACTCACCTAACTCAGCATTTTAGCATTTCTAATGCCAATGCTAATCAACTTATTTCTTCTCATTATATGCATACTTCATAGTCTGAAAACAATGAACCAACAACATCTGTCTCAGACTTTCAAGTTTGAAATGTGAGCTTTGAATTACAAAGGAGAAAAATTTACCACATAACATAAATCAAGTCATGATGGTTTGATTCTTTTTAAACCTTGCCTGTTGGTAACCCTATTCCTATCTCAGCCCCCTGTTGATAGCCCTATCCCTACCTTAGCCCCCTGTTGGTAGCCCTATTCCTATCTCAGCCTCCTGTTGGTAACCCTATTCCTATCTTAGCCCAGGGACCTTTTCAGTACCAGTTTCTTCCCCAAAACAGAAAACAATTCCTTTCATATTTCCCACCTGCCAGCACTAAATAAGTTATGTATGTAAATCACATCTTACTAGCACATGCAAGGCTATCAAATCAGAATATAATTTTTCTCCAAGATAAGACTTTTTTTAGATACACATAATATTCATAATTCACTTAAATCAAAACCAATCATTGTTTAACAGCAAGCATTATCAAACCTAGACAGTGAACCAATCACAAACTCTAGAAAAGCCCCATCACCACCACCACATGAGGCTTTGGGGGAATATCCAGACACCAACCATAACAAGTATGTTTCAGCATTCTGGAAATTTTTATTCACTACCAGTATTAACTATTCAGTCTTTTCATCTATTTGTCAAGTAATGCAAGATATCCTAAGATATCTTGTTAGGTTTGTCAATGTGATTTACTATAGAAATTTAGAGTAAGACTACATAACTTTAACAACTCTCTTCCTAAAAAACATTAAAAAGAAGGAAACTTCTATAACAATTAAAACAGGAAATTCTAAAAAAAAAAAACTTCCACTGTTTTTCATGTCTTTGAATTTAATAAAGGGCTCTTAGCACACTGGTTCAACTGAATTTTATTCAGATTTACAAACAATAACCTATTACCTTGGATTTTTGTTTTTTTGAGTTTTTTTGGAGACGGGGTCTAGCTCTGTAATTCAGGCTGACTTAACCCAGGCTGGCCTTGCACTCAGGGCAACCTCCCGGCCTCAGCCTTCCAGCTGGACTATAGGCATACCCCAGTATATCTAACTGATATTCTTGACCTCTGCTTTAAAATTCAAAAGCAGATGTCTTTGCCTTTGTATAAGTTTCATTTAATGCTTATCCAGGGACTGTACTATTTGTCTAACAGTCTGTTACTGTCTGTGGGTCCTTAGAGTCTACGTCCACAAGTCTGCTGCTTGTGTGCAGGAGTAAAATAAATCCATGGAAACGACTTTTCCAACATGTACAAGAAACACTTACAGTCTCAATCGAGGTTCAACACATCTGACAAAATAATCATATTCATCGTCTTCCTCTTCATCCCAACTCCTCCAAATGTACTGGTAGAAAAACCTGAGAAAGAACAGTGTCACATCAGGAATAAATGATGCAGCAACTGTAACACCAGCTATGGGGGAAGCAGAAGCAGGAGACTCAAACCCAGAAGTTTAAAACCAGCCTGGACAACACAGTAAAAGAAAGGTTAATGTCATTCAAATTCAATCAATGAATTAAAATACTGTAGTTTTGGAAGGGTCAGGGCCAAAGAGTAAATCAAAACAATCCTAGCAACCATCCCAAAACAAGACAAAAAAGACTGTGACAGAAAACTTTGGAGTTCAAAATTAGTCCTAATTTCACAATGTTCCAGTTGAGATGACTACTGACCAAGTGGGTGATGACCTGTATGCAGGTGAATGTAGAACCCCAAGGCTCCAGAAAAAGGTTAGAACTAAAAACACAAAAAATCTGGAAGGTGTCGGCAAATTGATAATATTACAACCATGACTGAGATCATCTAAGGACGTAATATAAAGCAGGTCTCAATCTTTGCTCTACATTAGGGCCCCTGGAATGCTTTCAAAAATTGATTCCCTATCCTAGCCAATAAATCAGAATCTTTATACCTCTTGTGAAGTATTCTTATCCCTAGATAACTTCAGCATTCTCAAGTGTGAGCATGAAAAGAAGAGGTGTACAAAAAGTGAACAATATTTTTAAACTATTAAACACCAAGCAACTTTATTAACATGACCATTACATTATATAATCTTGTAGTTCCTATAAAGAAATATGTCTATTCTTTACAGTAGCTAAGAGTAAACTTCCTTTAATAAATATATTCACCTAATATCCAAAAAAGCTACCCACCAAAAATTATTGTATAAAAGATTTAGCCAAACTATTTTTTAAAACTTACATAATAATTCAGGTATCATGGTCTTTCTCTCACTTAAAGGTCAAGGGGTACACTTTTCAAATGAAAACTATTCCAAAAAGGACATGTGAACGCATTCTTTAAGGATCAAAGAAGTAGCCCAAGAAAATACCTTTTCTGAAAGCATATATCCTTAAATAAAAAAAAGTGTCTTAGTCTTATCACTGCATGTATTATGGTATACAACTTTATTTACTTTTCTTCTTTCTGTTTTCTTATAGTCAGATATACCACTTAATAAATACTAGTATATACACTACTAAAGGCAGTTTCTGAGTTATTAGAAAACAAATGAATAAGAATTTTTGTACTTTTTTCAACTTTTCAGCAAGTTTAACTGATTACAAAGTGAGTCTTTAAAGCATTTTAAAATTTTCCAAATTTAAAACATTTCAAAATATTTTAAATTTAAGAGTCTCCTATTCAGGTGTAATGGAGCACACCTATAATCCCAGCACTCGAGAGCCCGAGGTAGGAGGATCACTGGGAATTCAAGGCCAGCCTCAGCCACAAAGTGAGTTGAAGGCCACTTATTGAACTTTGAGACTCTGTCTCAAAAGAGTGTCTCCTAAGAGTGGAGGATGAAGCTTAGTGGTCAAGGATTAGCCTACCACATGCAACACCCTGGGTTCAATTAGGTTCAAGCCCCACCACTAAGAAAAGAGAAAAAAAAAAAAAACAGATTCTCCTAATCTATAAATATTTTAGAAGATTATAATGACTGAAGGAGTCTGACCAGAGACTCTTCCATCCTCCTAAGCTTTTACCCCTGCTAAAAATGTAGAATCATGGGTTAATAAGGCCTACTAAACACAGCTGTACCTCATAACTACCATCATTCCTCAGCCCTGCTTTTGACAGGCAACCACCACTTCAAGTATTTTCTCAAGCTTCATCTCTGGCAGGTAGTCATAACTGTTTTCCACTAAACTCTCCTCCTCAACCCAGCTTCCCTGTATGTTCATGACCCTATAAAAGACCTCATAGCCCCTATAAGAGTTTACTGGTCCAGTCTAAGTACCAAGGTAGCCCTTCTTAGGTTTGTTCTGAAACAAACCTGTTCTGTTGAGCTCTTATCTTTGTTTTTTTCCTCCTCTTTTTTTCTACAATGACAGTTTACTTCTTGAGTTTTAAATCTGAGTCTAAAAGACCACAATTCAAGCCAAAGTTTCTGATCACAGAGTTATTTTATAGATAGGAACCTTCTCTTTCTACCTGACATGCTCAATTGCAAGTGCTGTCTGGTCAAACACTCCAGAGTCATCAAACACAACCCACAACTCTTGTAGAGGTAACTGGTATTCCTTTAGTTCGAGGAGCTCTTTCATACATTCCAAGGTAAAAGTGTTCACTTCAGATTCACAGGCATAGGGCTCAGCAAGCTTCACCACCGCCTTCAAGGCTGAAAAGTCGACATCTGTAACCTGAAATTTAAAATAATGCAATTCGACTTTAACACAGAAATCAAATAAAACATTACTGATACCCTAATTTTTCTTAAGCATAAAATGAAGACAGGAAATCTTTTTCCATAGCATAAAGGATAAATAAGACAGGGCCGGCTCTTACTCCAATGGTACTTATATTGTAATGAGGCAGAAATTAAAATGATGGTGAGTATGTAATAGAGAATAACTAGTAAGTGTCGTGATATGTTTGCTGGGATGGCCAGGGGAATTCACCTGTAAGCTGAGATAAAGAAGAACCAGCCATTGAAGACCAATGGTGTAAAAGTTACTGTGACAGACATAAACTTTGACAGCTGAAAAAGTAGAAAGGCAGTGCTTCTTACTAGAACCAAAGGGAATCTGGAAAGGAATGGACAGGTAGAGCAACAGATGAAGAGGGAGAGAGGCAGGGAAAACAAGACATAAAGAACATGAAAAGGAAAGATCATGATATATAATATATTATGGATCTAATTACTTTGTTATAAAACTTATTTTTTCATAGAAGAGATTGTTTTTATATTTTTTATTAATAATTACTTGTGTTACGTTAAAATTTTTTTTAGATTTAAAGACTGTAAAAAAAAGACTTTTTAGATTTAAAGATCTCAGATTTTACCTGTTCTCTAGCACAATGAGAAGCCAAAACCAGCACTAGCCCTTGGTAAATGCAACCTAGTAGGGATTTTAAGCAGAGAAATGACATTCTACTCTTTCACAACAGTGACCTCGATTGCTTTTAGAAAATTGAAATCATGGAGAACCAAACAATCATAACCAAATTAACAGATCCAAACATCAGCTAAAGATATCAGCATAATCAAAATTGAAACATTCACAAGGAACAGATGCAACCCACTGCTTCACTCCTCACATAAGCACTGCAACATGTAATTTTTTCATGAGCTACATCAACAATTTATATTCACATTCCCCAGTTTAACCTGTAGTTTAATAAGGCTTTTTGTGGTCTAATTAACAACAATGAGAAAAATCTGCAGCCATAATTAAGAATGCAAATTTAATATAATAGGTCAAGTCAGTTGAAAAATAAAGATTGTTTGTACTTTCTGCCATAGGACACAATATCAGATTAATCACATACCTATAGGTTCATTAGATAAAAAATGGACTAGTTTTTAAATGCCTGCTTGGTTAAAAGAGCTACTTAATGGGTAAAACATTTAAAATCCCTTTACTCCACAATTATGCCTTCTTTTGTGTGTGTGTGAGAAATGAACCTAGGGTTTTCACATTGACCTACATTTCCAACCCTTTTTGAGACAGTGTCACTAAATTCACTAAGTTGCCCAAATTTGCAATCCTCATGCCTCAGCCTCCCAGAGAGCTGGGATTAGTCATCTACCACTGAAACCAGTTTAGGCCTCCTTATGTTTTAAATGATCTCAAATACTTCCTTCACATCATAGGTTTATTATAATCCATCTCCCTTTTTAAAAGATGCTGAAACTTAAACCATCTTAATTTTTTCACAGCTCTTCCCCAGCTGCCTTTATATTTTTCAAAACATTTCATACACTGGGGCAATTAGAGGAGAAAAACATGCCATTTTCATTCAATCAGCTCATAAACTTTAAACGTAAGTACTTTAGCTATAATAATCTGAATTATAGCTAGATACAAACATCTTAATAAAAGAATCAAATTTACCTCAACCAACACCTCAAATACATTAGTGTGCCAGACTGCCTGCCATCCAGATGGTTCAAGGACCTTCTCCAAGAATTCAGCTATGAATTCTCTGACTTCTGAGGCCTTGCAATCAGCTGCAAATAAACACAGTTGCATAGTTGAGACTATGTAAAACAGAGAAGTTAATAAACCTCCTTAAATGCACTTTCTCGAAAGCAACAAGCAGCAATCTGAGGAACTAAGACAATCTACCTATAAAATAGAATGATAAAAGAACCCCCCCCCCAAAAAAAGAACCTACTTACATAAAATGTAATCTTGATAGGCTCTGAATCGTTCATAGAACAAAAGTTGACTTGTTTGGAAAATTTCTGGGATAGGAGATTTTCCTTCTGGCACAAAATTCTGTAAGCTATTGTCTGGCTTATCATGACAGCTACAATCACTGCATGAATCTTCAACTTGGAACATACCTAAAGGAAAAACAAAAACATTCCATATTTCCAGTATCTACAGACTGCTTCTATTTTCCTTACTTACAAATTCCAAATAAACCACACACAAGGATTTGCATATAATGCTCTACTATTGTCAGAAGAAACTAGTTTTCAAAACTTAAATAATACAGGCGAAGCACCTATAGCCACAGTACTCAGAAGCCTGAGACAGAAGGATTGCGGTGAGTTTGAAGCCAGCCTGGGCTACATAGTAAGTTCAAGGCCAGGGCCAGGTATATAGCTCAGTGGCATAAGCACCTGCCTGGCAAGCCCAAGGACTTGAGTTAGATTCCCAGTACCAGAAATTAAAAAACAAAAACTAACATAGTGGGTTCAAGGCCTGTCTGACTCAAAACACAGCAACATAACTGAGCATGGTGGTGCATGCCTATAATTCCAGCAGTTGGGAGGTAGAGGCAGGAGGATCTTCCAAGAGTCTAAGGACAGCCTGGGCTATATAGAGAATTGAAGGTCAGGCTGAACTGTAAATCAAGACCCCGTGTCAAAAAATTCACAACTTAAAAATACCTCCAGAGCCACTTTCAACTTCAAACAGTAAGAGCTTAAGATTTTCACCAGTTAGGTTTTTGTTCTTGTTCTGTGAGGTTTGGAGGGAAAAACAGAAAACGATTATTTTTTAGAAACTATCCAAGTTTTCCCTCAAAGGATACATCTAAGACTTTTATGAATGAAACATTATTAACATTGCATAAAGTTTATCATTAAACCTAGTAAGTTCCTCCTCACTAATTTCAGCGATGTCATTTAAAGGGAAGAAAAACAAAAAATGCAAATCACCTTAGGTTTGAGTTGTATGAAGTTACGTTTCGTAAGGCATGACTTGGCCAGGACTCTAATTCTGTGTAAAAAAGATGTATTTAATAGACACGATGACTACTAATAAGGATGGCAAGGGTAGCATTTAGACTGGTAGAGTAGTTTCCAAAGTGGTTTCAGGGAAGGTATTTGAGATTGTCGTTCACAGCAGTCTTTCTCTCCCCAGGCCCTTTACATTTTCCTTCCACTTCTTTGCCTGTATTCAGGCCATCAGAATTACTTAACCCTGCAGATGACCAAAGTATACCTTAAAGGTCGGCAAACGTGGGGGGCCCCTGCGTGTGATGGCACACACTTGTGATCTCAGCACTCAGAGGCCTGAGCCAGGAGGATTGGGAACTGAGGCAGCATTAACTACACAGCAAGACAAAAAAAAAAAAAAAAAAAAAAGAAGGCAAAAAAAAAGTCTTAGAATAACTGTGACACTCTGTCTTTGACTGTTTCCTTCTCTATAAAGGGAAAATAAAAATAGTATACCTACTTCAATTAAAAGACTTAAATCGTTTTTTAATCATTTCCAACAGCACCCATTACACAGTACATTTGTTTAAAAAAAAAAAAAAAAAACAGTATATTGCCGGGTATAGTGGTGCACACCAGTAATCTCAGCACTGGGGAGGCTGAGGCAGGAGGATCTCGGTGAGTTTGAGGCCAGCTTGGGCTGCACAGTGAATTCAAGACCAGCCTGAGCTACACAGTGAGGCAAAAAAAAATTAAAAATCAACGGGGATCTCGGGATGTGGCTCAGTGGTGCACCACAAAATGATGACATCGATGATGGAATCTCCATGAAGAGATAAGAAAGAACTGAGAATTTGAACTGCGTTCTATTCCTGGACTCTGGCCTAAGTAAGCTATGTGCCCTCGGTGTTCGGAACACTGTTACCTAGGCCAAGCCTGCTTCCTTTTTGAAAAAGGGAAGTGTGGTCCTTAATCACCTTTGACACTCATTTGAAGTCTTCAACAGATAAGCACAAAGTTCCCTCGGAGGCGTCTAGGTAGTACAGGCACACTAGGCGAAGCCGAGGCAATAAATAGAAGGTGGAAACCTGGGTCGCGCCGGATATCTTGCGACTTTAACGTCTGGCCTGGCGCGGTCGTCCCGCCACCCTGGCCAACCAAATCCGGAAGGCCTGAGCCCCAGCGGCCTGCCCGCTAAAACAAGTGCTCACCTTTCTCCAGAGGCGCCCGCTCCTCCTCGGCTGCCCAATCAGCGTTCCCTGGCGCCATGGCCTCCAGCTCCATAACTCGACCCACCCGAACCCCGTCCGCCATTTCGAATTTCCGCGGGCGGCCGCCCTAGAGGCGAACGCGGTGGCGAGTGCACCTCTGATTGGACAATTGGAGTGACGTGAGTCTGCGGAGCCCCGCCCCACCCATCGACGCCGGGCAACGCCTCTGCGCCTCCTGCTGCAAGGTTGTTCTCCAATATCCAGTCTCTCTCTGAGACCACCATAGAGCTGAACTGGGGTATAATTTGGGATAGTTTCCAAAAAGCTCACAATCCATAGCACAGCCATTACTAATAATATTACTTAGAGCAAGTCACCCCTCACAAGCTAACTGCGGGATGAGCTGTTGGCCTTTGTTACACTTCACCACCAAGAAGCTGTGTTCCTCTCTCAGTACACACACACACACACACACACACACACACTCACTCATAAACGGTATTTTTAAGGACTGTTAAATCATATTTAATGCTTACTAAGGAAATTTTCATTTAATCTTCAAAAATGACCCAATGAGATAGGTAATATTACATCTATTTTACAGAAGAGGAAATGGAGTCACTAAAAACTAACTTCTCCAATCTAACACAACAGAATCAAGATTTGAAGCCACTACACTCCAGAAACCATCCTTTAATGATCCTGCCTTGCAACCCCTACCAGGGTAAGGTCCACCTAAGACAGCAGAGGTTCCCAGGACTCCAGCAGAAATGAATCCACAAAAGACCAAAAGCCCAGTCATGACAGCATGGCAGTCTTTTCACAGGGAAACTTTTCTGCTTACTGTTTTGAAGGAAAGCTTTTTTTTTTTTTTTCGTTTTGAGACAGGGTCTCACTATGCAGTTCCGGCTGACCTTGAGCTCACTTTGTAGCCCAGATTGGTCTTAGACTTCCAACAATCCTCCTGCCTCAGTCTCCGGAGGGCTGGGATTACAGGCATGAGCCACCATGCCCAGCTCCTTGAAGGAAATCTTTAAAGTTTAATTACAATGGAGCCAGGAGAAGCAAATGTGGAAACCTACATTTAATTCAGTTAGCTCCCCAGCAGTCTGATGATACATTTATTCATTTTCTGAGCAAATGCTTTTCAAGTGCTACCACATGAAAATAAAGAGAACAATAAAGTGAAGCAACAGGCCTTAAAATGCTCCTCTTTAACTCTCCCACCCACACAGGTCACCAATGGGAGTACTTTTCCTCAGCTATTTCCCTCAGTACTAGAGATAAGATAGCTTTCTTCTTACCAAATATTTAGTCAGCCGTGAAGATCATACAGTGCTTCTGGAAATGTCTAAGAAGGAAACTAAAAGCAACAGTAAATATCTAATTCTGTTGCAAACTCCATTAAAGACAAATTATTAAGATGGAAACATCTACTACACACAGCCCTTCTCATTCCCAAACCCATGTCAACATTTATTTATCACTTGGCTTAGATTATAGCTCTTATGGTTTATTTCTGGATGTCTCCCAAAAGCCTTATACAGTGGATGATTTTCCATAGGTGGTTTTCCATAGGTGGATGAATCTAGAGTTTGTGGTTAATTCATGATCCAATGTCTGGATTCTGGATGTCAGTGCTACACCCATCCTAGGGTGGGTAACCTACATACACTATAAGGGACAGAAAGAGTCTTTCCCCCTTGTTGCTATTCCTGTCTTCTGCCTGCCATGAATTGCTCTCCCCTGTGAAGCCACCCTACCTTGGAGTCAGCTGAAAATGAACCAACTGTGACCTAAATAAATTTCTTCCTCCTTTAACTTTGGGTGTTGGTGCTTTGTTCCAGCAATGAAAAGTAACTAAAACAATAGCAAAGGTTTCTTCTATAATTTTCATCTAATTAGAGATCTTTCAGGAGCATACATTACTGGACAGTTTGTGATTCCTGGTGCTCCTCTTATCCCAATGTGTGGTTTTTCTTCATTGTCCTCACTAGTTCTGTATCTGTGATCCACACAACCTCTATCTGCTTTATGGCAGGTCATCATCTACTAGTCCCTGTTTGTTTGTTTTTTTCTTAACATTTCACTCTCCTTACCATTGGGTCCCCATACTGTGATCACATATGGGCTCAAAATTAACTGTGCTCCCACTACCCAGAGCCCAACTGCAACCTTGAGATATTCACCCTCACACTTTGTTGATTTCTAGACCCTAACTGCTTGGTAGTGCGTTCCCTTTCTGGCAGGAAGGTAGCTCCCTCTGAGGCCTTTCTTTTCACCTTCCCCTTATAGCCTTTAGTATAGATTCTGTTGGCCACCCACCGTGGAACTCTTTCATCCTTTGGACTCTAGGTCCTTGCTGTCCTGGTCCTTCTTCTCATTCTAAGACTACTCCCGCCCTCATTCCTCTTCCTTCCTTCAGACATCTCAAACCCCAGTGACTCCTAGGTAGAAATCATGTGTAGTCTGTGGCAATCAGTGATCATGTAACAAAATCATGAATTAACAGGCTAATATCAATTACAAAAAATACTAAAAGTAAAATAAAATTCAGCAATGTTGGGATAGATTAGGGCATGGCAAAAATTGGCTGGGGAAGTAGGTGTGACCTGTTAACTATAAGATCCCTGTACACATGCACAGAACAAAGCTCTGCACATGGACTTCTCAAGCAGATATTCAATAAGATGGTCTACACCTGATATCAGTGTGAGGAGTGGAATACCAGCCCTGCTTCTCAGGACCAATGTGTAGAAGAAGTTCCATGGGTTTCCTCAATGTTTAGACAGTACAAAGACACACCAAGCTATGAAAAGATTGCTATCATAACTTTCCACGATAATGCATGCTGTTTCCCAGATACAGCATGTACTTTTCTTTACTCTTACATTCTATTTTTATCGACTCTGCCCAAGCTCACTCTGCAGTGCCACTTTGTCTCCCACTCTTCACTTTTACTTTCTCAAATAAACTTTGCCACTGCTTTTTGCTCATTTCACTCTCTTTGTTCGAGACGAACACTTGGAATCCAACTCCCAAAGATGAGGTGAGCAACCGCAAACCCTTAGTTGGCAAGTCACTTTTTAGAAACAAGCTACTTGATAACAGTGTAACACAGAATGATAAACAAGAAGTCCAAATTCAGATGTTATGTGAAAGCACCTGTTATTAAACTATTAGCAATCAGGTTTTAAAAACATTTTTTAAATAATAGGCAAACCAGAAAAATCTTATTTTCTAGGCCAAACTGGCCCATAGATTATAATTTTATTCTCACTACTCAAGTCTAATCCAGGGATGAAAAGACTCTTAGAAATAGAATCATTCCTACTCCCTCCACCCATCTAGGCCTGCTGGATGAGAATCTGTGTTTCAGTAAGATCACCTATCCCTATCACATTTGATTCAGAGACCTTCAAAATTAATCTCTCTCTCTCTCTCTCTCTCTCTCTGTCTCTCTCTCTCTCTCTTTCTCTCTCTCTCTCTCTCTCTCCCTGTTTTAACTTGTACATTCCCACTGAATATCTGAGCTGAAATTCTCAAATGATTGTATGATTCCATTCACTGTACCACAAAGCCAAGGTGCCACTGATCTCCTGAGCTCACATCTCTTGCCTCATCCCATCCTCCCTGCTGCACATTCTACTAGGGCTGCTACAGCCGCACCTCCCCACCCCTGCCTCTAGATTTAATTGCTCCCTTTTTGTTGCTCCTAGTATTGACAATATAATATGTGACCACTGGATAATCCAAATAATATAAGGGAAATATTATAACTCTCAATCTGCTAGATGCCTGAAATACCAAGTTCATATCCTTCAAAATTGAGGAATTCTAGAAACAACGGAGGTTAAAAGTATGAAGAATTTTGGGCAACCTATTTGGGTCTCTCAGGAGCTATTCCTATTCCAGAATTCCTCACTCCTATTCTCCAATAAATTTTCCTACTTTGAAAAAAAAAGAATAGGGAGAATTTATTGAGAAAGAGAAAGAAAACTTCTGTCTAAGAGGAACAGAAGGAGGCCCAGAAAGTGAGTTGCCCACCGACCTCACTTTTCAAGGATGTTTTATTGAATAAAGTGATGAGGTGAGGCGAGTCTACAACAGTAAGATTACAAGCATAGTCACTAGGTAATATTGATCCAAGAGAAAAGCACAGGATGGTGTGAGGTAGGATAAAACTATGGTCAACCAATAAGATTACAACAAATAGTCATTTGGGAAATACTATTAAGTGGGGATCAAATTGGGAAGCAAGCCACATAGCAACTGCACTTGAGACAGACATTTTCATGGAAGGCATGGATTAAGGAGGTTTTGGTCCCCATTCCAAGATGAGTGAAACCTGTTTAGAATATCCATCACTGTTGTTCATCCCTAGGATAAGTATATGGATGAGTAGTTTCTCTTTTTCTTGAAGCCTGGCCTTCAGTGAATGCATCTCTAGCCACAGTTTTCTTCTTCAATGACCTTTTGAAGGCCTTACTCTGTCTGACTGCCCACAATATTTCTAAATATCTTAGGTGAAATAGTACAGAGATCTCAAATTTCCATGCTCAAAGAGGCCAGGCGGGTAATAAAAAGGAGAGAGGGTGCCAGACAGAATGACAAATGCCCATAATCCCAAATACTGGGTGTCCGAGGCAGGAGGCTCACAACCTCAAGGCTACCCTGGGTAACTTAGCAAGACTCTCTCTCAAAATAAAATTTGAGGAATGATGTCATTTCCAAATACTATATATCTTTGTGTTAAGCAAATTAAGCCAGATTCAGAAAGAAAAATATCGTGTTTTCTTTCATGCGTAAAATCAAAAGAGAGACAGACACACAGAGAGAATGAGAATGAAGAAGTTTCTGAGATCAGGTGTAGACTAAGAAGACAAGAGGACAGAGAGTCCAGGTGGACCAGGGTGGACCCTAGCATCTTCCACAGGAAAGGAAGGTAGCCCACAATGTTCACTGGCAACAGTGAGGGGACAAAAAGAGATTTCAGTCCCTCTGATGTGAGACCCTGGGAGCTCTTCTTGACAAAAACAAAAATAATAAAAGCCAGGTCTAGATTCTGGATTGTAATTTTCCCTAGAGTGCAACTTAAACTTTGAAAAGAAAGTAACTCTATCACTTTATAAAATAGTGAGGAGTCCTTGCAACC